AAAGCTCACAGAAGCTTATCAGTCAATAAAGTACTATTCTGAGACTGACCAAGTTTCTATTTTTACTTTCTATGATCTGTACACAGAGATATGGAACAAAACAAATGGATACAGGTCAGAATAAAAACAAACACTGACACAGATTGCAGGAGATGGAAGGATAAATATTATGGCTGTAAAACGAAGCAAAAGAAAGAACCTGAACAGCAGACTACTCTTCACTCTTTACGCAGCTCATGTGTGAACCACATATGTTTATTTATTGCTATATATTGTTATTTCTATTCTAATTGATAACATTTGTTCATACATTGTGTATGTGTAGCATGAAGGGGGATACAGCTAAATATTGAACATTGATTGTAATTAAGGTCAATTTTGAGGTAACTGTATACATCTACTCTATAGCTAGATATTAATTGATTAGGGGCCATTAGGGGCCAACTGAACCTGGGACTGCTGGACATTACCTATTGATTAAACGGGGAGAATTTATATAAAAACATATAAATCATCTTATAATGTAATACATTTTACGCTTACAACTTTATAAAGTAGAAGTGTCAGAGGTAGCATCAACAGGACTGATATATTTGAATGCAATCTTTCCAGCACTGATATTTAACACTATATTTCCTGATGATGATCAATAAAAGATGAATTAATTATTTCCTCTTTAAAAACAAACCTGAAGCTTCACTTCATTACTGAATTCTCTCGGCTGCTTTACATCCAGCCAATGAAGGAAAAACCCATAAAACTCCGTCACTTTGTGTTTCTTTCTGTTAGTAACAATATGTCTCTGTGAACAATGAAATGTGAAAAGTTTTGTGTCCTTGCTCCACAGATATTGACGCTGCACCGACTCTCTACTCAACAGTCAAACCAGAAAACACCTGACAGGAAACTACAGCAATGTCCCGTGTGTTTTTATATTGGACAGGAATTGAAGGGGTTTTTTTTGTCCTCCAACCTGCAGCTGAAAGACTGAAGCTGAACCACTTCAACAACAAGGAAATAAACACTGGTTGGCAAAAAACTCTGTGCAGATGTTAAAATGATCTGTTTTCAGTTTTATACATTGGTGAGAAACTATAAGCCGTTCGCCTCAGGTGCATCCATGTTTGTTTGAGAACGAGGCTGCACGAGACTGAACCAGCTTTTACTTGATGTTTCAATACTGTGAGCACTGAGGTTCAATACTAACAGCCGGTTTGTCCCTTCTGGGCTACTGTACAATCTAAAAACAACAGTTGTGGCAACTTCTAATGAAATTATGTTCAACAAATGTACTACATTGAGTTCTGGGAATGAGCTTTTCCTTTACAATCAAAGGTGTTATTAAATACTTAATAACTGGAAGCATAAACATTCGTTTTTAAGTTGATTCGGCCGCTCGTAAAAATGAACTTTATGTCAACACAACTTCTCAAAATAATGTTTGCAGCTTAAAAGGTTTCTCTTAATCAATTAATTATAAGTTTTATCTTTTATCGTTGAATTTAAGATGGCGGACTCCACCAGAAGAAGATCAAACACACAGTGATTCTCATATTCAGGTGATTATACACTAATGAAAACATCCCTATTAATATTATATTTAGTTTCTGACAATAGATCCTCCTGAATGTTACACTCTGGACCTTTAAAATATAATTATCATGATAATAATTATATTAATAAACTTAATTTATTTAACGAGGATTGGAAACATTTCAGAAAAGGTCTAAATAAATAGTAACAATGAAATAGAACTTCGCTGGGGCATCACTATGATTAAAAACAATAATAATAATAAAATAGACGAGATGATGGAATAAATAAAAGGCATAAAACGTTGACACAATCAGATTTTAAAGGGAACACACTTGAGCTCAAAGCTTTTTGTAATAAAGTTTTTCAGGCAGGTAGAGTTTAAAACACTGTCAGATAAACAGTGTTGTCTCCAGTGGTTTGCAACCTCTGGATCAGGACCCACATTAGGGGTCGCCAAAGCTTCATGAGGGGTCACAAGGTGTAAGGAAACTCCAAAACTATACACAGTGAGTAGTTTGTGTAATTCTGTGAAGTAAACTAAATGAATTTATTTGCTTAGATCGAATATATGATTGTTAAAACAAAACAAAAAAACACAAAACAGACACGACATGAGAAAACTCATGAATGATTCAGGAAATAATAA